CCCCAAAACCCCAAAACCCCAAAACCCCATGAATCTATAAAATTTTGCAAAAATTATCATTAGAGAAATTTTATCAATGCTAGATTAAATTTATGTACTATTTATTAATTGATTTGATTAGAATTAAAATAATATCAAGTATTTTACATTAACATGAATGACGAAATTTACGACGATAATATTATCAAAGATGAAGAAAATATTATCAGCTTTAAATTCAAGAGCAATTCTATGCTAGAAACAATAGTAGAATGTCCTGTTACTGAAGAAAATGCAGATGTCACTCAAAAAACCAAATCTTATGATGATATTTCAGCAAGCAAAGATTTCGCTTATCCCATGATTGATAAGTCTAGACCTGTTATCGAATAATCGAAAAAAGAACAATTGCCCCAATATCGCATATAGAATTCGACAACTGGTTCATTTGATTCTGGTGCTTAAAAAAACATGACTTTAAGAACTGCTAAGAAGTCTGTAACTTATCAAGATTACAGTTTGTCTTAGTAATATGGAAGTTCTAGCAATCTTGGGAAAATTGAAGAATATCAGAGAACAATAACTCTTGAGAGGAATACGGATGTGCTCTAAACAGAAATTAAAAATTCTAATTATAATTAAAGTCATAGGATGAATAAATCAATCGGAATGTTTGAAGCTACATGCGTACTTTTGTGTAGAATAGTTGGAGTAGGCTACTTAAATGTGCCAACTGATATTTCTGATATAGCTTGGTTTTACTTTGTCATTCTATTTATAAACCTACTTATTGGTTGGTATTCAAGTTCATTAATTCTCAGTCTTAGATGCCATTACCCTTCGCTTAAGTAAGTTTTTATTAATACCTATAAGATTTGTTATATCTTCTTTTAGCTCACTTTAAGAGATTTCTTTTGCTTAAACAAGTTAAAGAGGGAGAGTTATTTTTATAACAGCTGTTCATTTCGCTTGCTATTTTTTATATCCAATCGTTCATTTCGGTAATTACTTTATTTTAAATAATTCTCCTATAGGTAAAGCCTCGTAAGGATTCTTTTTACTCTATCAGAAATTATTTGAGGTTGACTACTTCAATTAGGTTGCTTATGTCACCCTCGCAGCTGTTATATTCATATTTGCCCTTCTACTTTAGCTCAAGATAAATTTCAACATTTTCATCAAAATTTCTATAATCAGCTTGATTGCTTTTATGATCTTTCTGATACTTTTTATTATCCAAACTGTTATCCGTGTTGTTAATGGTAGCTTTACTAATAATGAACCATTATCTACAATAGAGTAAAGATTTGATTATAAAGATTAGGGTAAAAATCCTATTTTTTTCATTATTTTTAGATGGATACTTGCTCTTGTTGCCTATCATTTCATTTTCATTTCAGTTTGAGCAATGTTTGATTCCAGTGTAGTGCCACTTTGAGGTAAAGGACTGAAATGGAAACAAAGGACATATATCTTCCATAATTGCAATAACTTTGGCTTTTGTTATCTACTCAACAATATTTGGACTTTAAACAATTATTGAAAATATGACAATTGACAATTAAAGTAAAGATTGCAATTTGTATCTACTAATCTTTCGGCACTTTGATAAGGAATTATCTGTAATCAGTTTAGTGTTGATTATCATAAAGCAGTTCCTCCAAGGATTGCTGTTACTTCACATTGCCCTTGAACAGCTGTTTATTCTTGTTGATGAAATACATAGAGAATCTCTAACAAAGCATGTCAATAGAATGAACAAAGGAAAATCAGCTTCAATTCAGGCTCAGTACGACACATTTTTTAATAGAGAATATTAAGATGCTTCTTCATCATTTAACCCGACTAAAGTTGAAGATTTTTTCAAAGAAAAATTATACTCTCTAGATTCACCATTAAAAGCAAAATATTGGATGGCCTATATGGAGATGGAAAAAAAGCACAGAATTCTATTAGCGATACTTCTGATGATTATAGATTTGATGTTTATAATTTTTCAAAAATTGAAACTTAGCACAGTAATGATATTTTTGGGCTCATTTACAACACCTCTGATTATAATTATTATACCTGGGTATTTATTTTATTAGCAATAGAGGCTCATTGCGTTTTATGAAATGAAGAGCAGGGTAAATAGAAGCGGATAGATGGCTTACATGTTCGTTATTTTCGGAGTTATCCTGATGTTTATTAATTGCGTTTGTGTGTTATATAATATGACTTTTGCTGTTAACTATGAATCAGATTGAAAGAAATATAGAAATCTATAGTTGAAATTTATAGTTAAAATGTACTAATTTTGAAATAATAAGCTAATTTTAATTTCTAAATTTATATTAGCAATAAATATTCTTCTTAAAAATAATCCTATGGGGTTTTGGGGTTTTGGGG